GTCAATAATTAGTTTCGTTTGTGGGTGCATTCTATATTTAATATCCGCATGCGAATGGAACAAAGGACGGAAACTCATAAATAATATTATGTCTTGCAATTTTGTGTAAAGACACTCGGTGCACAAAACGGTATTGTGCAACGGAATTTCAGTATTGGTGTCCGTGTTTCATGATAAATGATGCTTAATCTCGTTGGTCTGAACGAAATAAATTTTATAAAAAGTTATGAAATAATATGAAATATGAAATATTTGTGTATGGTTATTATAATCCGAAAGCATATTATATAATTATTAGAAAAATAATATATAAACATAATTTCTCAATAGATAAAATAATTTCTCAATAGATAAAAAATATTTTTCAAAGAAAGAACCAAAAACAACGCGAACAATATATGGCACATTTTTTTTTAATTGTAGAACTTTAAACGTTAGTTTTTTATTAAATTTATTAAATTTATTGTATCAAAAAAAAATATGAAAATCTCTTTTTCAATGAATATATCCTCTGAATCGTTCCAATACTCTAAAGGGATTATTTTAATCCCTCAATTATCAAGTTCAGAAAAATTCGAATATCTGCTCTTATTCGCGATAAGCTCGTTTCTGTTGTATCTGTTGACCGAATAATATGTTCATTCTTTTTTTTTGCGTAAAATGCGATGTTAAAAGGACTATAATAGATTTTCTTGAGCAATCTAATAAAAAAATAAAAGATTTATCTAATCATTAAAAATGAAATAATAAAGAAGTGCAGTGGAAGTAACACATACTTTAAACCTTAATCAGTAAAACTTTTAATGTCACTTACCCGGTTTCTCAGCTCTTCTTGCCGCTTCGATCACCTCATGATGCCCGATGCATTCGTCGGAACTCGGATTCTCCGGAAAAAGATCGCATTCCAAATAATCCGGGAGGGATAAACCGAAAACTTTGAGAAAGAAACCGCAACGCCTTTTGGTTTCTGAAATTGATTGAAGAAAAATTTATTTTTGGCTCAAAATCGAAATATCAGATAACGAAAGACTTGTGATATTCAAAATTTAAGGAAATATGATGATTTAACAGCGCAAAACTTGATATAAGGATTACCATACATTTATCAAACAATGGAATTGACTATTAAGACTTGGCTATTAACCAGTATTACTGCTAATGCATCTCGACGCAGCTTATGTTCGCAATTTATGGTTTATTGGACAATAATGATATACATATTGATTCTCGTTTTGATAACAAATAGATCATACTAAATATAAAAATGGAAAGGAAATTTCAATGCATTGCATTTATATTGTATGAGAACTGAAATAATTGCAAAATGAAAAAAAAGATGACACTTTTAATGCACTAATTAAAAATAAAATAAATTTTAAATTAAATGCGAATAACTAGTTTCCTGAATGATAGTAAATTTACTTACGAAAGCAGAGACTGCGACAGGGACGTACGACATGACCCCGAGGACCACATTTTGGCACGAAAACGCTGCACAGAAATAGAGCAGCCAGTTCGTAACATCTGACGTCAACGACAGCATCGTAAAGTTCTAACTCATGCTGGGCCTCTCGTTGTCCAAAATTGCCCATGTAATTTGGAAATACAGTATAGTTGTATGGAACCTGCGATTGAAATTGTAATCTAGCATTAAAAATTACATTTCACAATTGATTATCGATATCAATGATTTTATACAGAATACACAGATGAAACATTTTCACGTGATCAAACATGAAAATATTTGAAAACAGCAATTCACATCTAGAATTCAAAATTACGGCAAGAATAAGATAATTAACATTAATTGGTCGACATTATCGATGTTTTATCATAAATGATTGAAAAGTAATGTACGGAATTTTAAATTTAATATATATTTTGACATAAAAATTTCAGATTGATAACAAACTTTTAATGAATCATTCAATATAACCACATGAATCTCTATTATCTCAACTGTAACATTTTCTTCTTAAATTTTCTAATGACAACCTTTGCGATCTTCTCTTCTCTGCTCAATCCCATTTGCACTCAGCCACGTACGTACAGCGTACGTACTCAAAACGTGTACGACTGTGCGGCAAGTGCCTTATGAATTTTAAAACGGTTGTCCAAGCGCATCCGGGCTATCAAAGTGGAGAAGAGAAAGTAGCGCAAAATGCATATTCAAAGGTGCAGATGCATCGGAATTACAACTGTCGACGGCTGTTTCTAATGTCCGCTGAGAATGTTTCGCCGCAAAAGAGAGAAAGTAACGTTGCCCACTCGTCGGTGTTCTGACACTGAGGGCGAATGGCACGATTACGATGCTGCATACCGGAGCAAATTCCGGTATGCCGCCCACGCGTATATATTCCGCGCGCAAAATTTATTTTAAATTCCTCGAAGACGGCCAAACCTCTTTCGAGAAAAGCATAATACGTATCATCGTGAACAAGCGGCGCTTTCCGCGTGCAAGCCGCTAAAACGCGGCGAATGTGTTTTCAAGGATGTGGATTCACGTGGATGTGGATTCCAGAGTTAACGAGTTCTCTTTCTTCTTATAACTTGATACATTTTAGCGGCTATTTTACGTGACATAACTGATAACATTTTACATTCACTTTGTTTCAACGTTTCTATTCTTAATATCAAATTACTGAAACGTAACGTTCATAACAAGGGTATAATTGTTACCTTGTGCTGCTGGCAGAAAGTCACAATAATAGGTAGACACACACCCCGAGCCGGATTCTTGTCGTCGACATTTTCGAATATCGGGATCACCGTGTATATGGTTCTATTCTCCCATTCATTTTCAGGATACGCTAGTCAAAGAAAAAATATAGATATTGATACGGAAAAGATATATTCATTCATCAATAATATCGCGTAGCGCTGTCGTAATTTATTTTTGTGTCATCGATTAAATTATTTGTCAACATATAAATTCATTTTTAAACATATAAATTAAATCATTTGTCATATCGGCTTGACAGATCTATCACATTCAAGAAGTATCAATATACTTTCGTTGTTGAAAACGATCACGTTCCAGATGTTCTAACGGAATAAGGGGAGCGTGTACATTGCAAACTTTTGTAATTATTAAAGTGTCAACTGCAAGCACGCAGTGCGACACTCGACACTACAATGTTACCTAATATTATCTCTCTTGGTTTTCACTTAATTTCAAATCAAAAAAATGAAAAAATATTAAATGTTTATTGCATATAGACATATATATATATATATATATATATATATATATATATTATATATATCACATAATAA